TGAGCTGGTGCGCGTAGGTTTGGCCAGACAGTCTCCACTATCTGATCGATGTGAGCCTCCATAACGGAGACATTTGATCGTTGCCTTGCACTCAGGATAGGAATATATTCTACAAGAGTAGATATCCCATGATATTGCTTGATAGTAGCCGTGAGCTATGTGAAATTCAAAGCAGCATTTATTTTGCTGCATAGAACGGTGTGGTTGGTACCTAGCAGCCAGACCCTACTCTCCGAAGATTCGGAGACCTGATTTAGGCACCGATCCTCAAGGGAAAAGGACTTCTCAAGATTTATTTTAGTTTGTAGATGTCCCAAGAAGGGGCTTTGTTGGTGCCCTAAAATATCTTTCTTATTACCATGTTTTCCGTGACATTATTGACACGTAATTAATTTTTAAGCCCACTATAACCGTAGATATCAAGAGTCCGACAAGTCTTGAAGAGGCTTCGATGACCACTTTAATTGATAAAATTCTCATGTAGTTATTCTCCCGGAGAATCCTACGTCTTGCTTCATCCCTCCCCTTTAAGATGAAGCCCGAAGGAACACTGTGGATGTCAGTTATTTCGTCTGTTTGGATGGCATAGTTTCTGATGAGTGCTTCGCAAATTTTAGCTGGAGAAATTTGCCTTCACCTATATCATTTGTCTAGCCAGACAAACAGTCGGTTGTGTCGACTCGGTGTCGCATTCCTTTTGGACGGTGACATGATTTATTTAGCTAGCTAAGAGGGCGCGTAGCCAATGGACGACATGGAGGGCTTTTATTGTTCTCGTCTAGTTTTTATCACCCAGTTATCTTTCACCTTGGACTGCTCAATTTTTAATTTGAGCTTCATAGTTGTTGCCTATGCCGACTGGATTATGATAGGGTGAGGAGTATTTGGGGTGGAAAGGTGATCATACCTGTTGCTATATACAGAGCGATGGCAGCGCGTTGATGATCTCTGTAAAAGTACTCGAACTTTTTTTTTTGCATCAGATTTTAATTGCGTTTGCAGCCATCTAGCTATGACACAATATCAAAGAAAAGTACAGAAAAGATGATTCAACATAAAGGAAGAGCACTCATGCCTCAGATTTCATTTTCAATTACCACTGCGAAGTTATGTTGGCTTTTTCTTCACCCCAAGTCAACCCTCATCCGTGAATACCCACCCAGGGGAACGTCTAAAAATCCTGAGTTATCCAAACGTACCTCCGTCATCTTTCAACTCTCCTCCGCGCGAAATATGGTTTTAGGCGTCTCCTTCTCAAGTGGAGTAGGTACCCAGGCTACTCAAACTATACCGGAAAACACCACCAGGAGGCGGACCACAACACCTTCCATCGTCGGCTTTTTTTTTTAATCATTTAAGTGTATTCAGCTATGGAGCTATGACACATGACCGGTGCTATGTATAAATGTGGGATGACTCTTTTGACGTTGGAGACACTCATACTCTGGATTTCATTCGCAAATACCACTATGAGGTATGTTCGCTTACACAAACAGTCGACTCTCCTCCGTAAGTACCCACCAAAGGGAATTTCAAAACCTTTGGTTATCCAAGCATGCCTTCGTCATCTATGTATACCAGCGCCGCGAGAAATGTGGTTGTATTTTGCCGGATTTGAACCAGCGATCTACTGTCTCAAGTGGGATATGTGTCCAAGCTATCCAGACTCTACTTGGCAGACCGGCTAAGACGATATACCACCGCACCATCCAACCATGGCGGTGTTTATAGTGTCGACTGCACTCTCGAAACCGAAGTCTTGGCACGCACAAAGCTCAATTTGTAAAAACTTCTTGCCAAGATTCCACGCCGGTCGAGACTGTATCCATCCTTCGCATCATCTTGTGAACTTGTCCTAATCCCTCTCATGTCCATCCCAAGGAACTATCTTCCAGATTTGTGCGCCACGCTTTGCTTCCTCCGTCGGGTGTAAATATCGGCGTGGGCGTGTATTTGGCGACCAGCTAAGGCCAGAGAAAGTCGACGAGAGTTGTGGTCATTGGAATGAGGATGTTCTAGGTCGTACTTGTAAACTTGATGAGGCTTGGATAGGAGTCGGACTCGTTGGGAGTGAAAAAACGACGTGTAGGAGTAATTTGAATCTTTGCCTCGTGGGCCAACTTCTTTGATATTGCCAAATTTGACTGAACTTGACACTGGGAGAATATTTCACTCCCAGGTTCGTAGAGGACACCACGTACAGGTGTTCAGTCTTGCCCTCCGGAATGTTCTAGCACTAGGCTGTGAATAACGCAGTAAGTCTGGAGCAGGTCATAGGGAGGTCTCTATCTCCGCTCCTTCTAATAAGGTTTCCTTTGCACGAATATATAAATACAAGCCTTATATATCACGAGCAAACACGCAGTAGCGATTAACGAGACCTACTGTGAGCATAACTTCTTCAAGAGTATCCATCGTACTGCTTCTATGAAGCCAAGTTAAATTTAGTTGCCTGTTTGAGTCGTTGGTCAAGGGAGGATAGATGATTCAACTCAGTTCACAGCTGTGGTGCAGGCATCAAGATTTGCCGTCGATTTGTGGCTGGTAGATCATCGAGCTTGAGCATCAAACAAGTTTGAGTCCGTTTGCGATTCCCATTCAGGATGTAGATGATTGATTTAGCTCAGTTTCAGAGTCGTAAATCCCAGCAGGTCAGGTTCTCAATTAAAAACTTGTCAAGGACACTCCTCCCAATCGCCATCTCGACGAAAACTCACAAGTACACCCCTTGTTATGACTAAATCTCAGCATTGTCAGAATATTTCGCTACAGTTACGTAGAGGACACCATTGACAGTTGTTTATCCTTCGTCCTCCATAGCAGAGAGCAGGTAGGACTTCTATTAGATTCAGAGCGATTTTGATTGCGTCAAAGCGTTATGTATTTATTTTTGTATCATTTATGTGTATATAAATATCTATCTATAAGACATGATCAGTGATAAGTGTACGTGTTATATAATTCTTTAGACTTTGAAGACACGGCTACTCTGTATTTCATTCGTAAATACAAATGAAGCATTTTCGTTTACGCCGAACAGGTGTCCATACTGTCCAGACCTTGCTTGGAAAACCAGGCCGGGTTATATACCACTACACCACTCAACTAATATTGTTTTTATACTATAGCCTGCACTCTCGAACACGAACTCGTGGCGAGCACGACGGTCTTTAATGTGAAAATTCAACCAAAAATTCGTCATCTCATACCTTTCAAGATTGTATCCCTCTAACGTATAACCTTGTCCACTTGTCCTGAAATCTCTCGCGTCCATCCTGTGGAAGTACTTTCCTTACTTGTGCACTACGGTTTATATCCTCCTGCGGATACAGGTATTCTCGTGGATGTGTATTAGGTGGTCAGCTGAGGCCAGAGACTAAGTCAACAAAGTTTGTGATAATTGAAACGGGAATACACTACGTCGTTCTTACAGGCTTGATTAGGCATTGAAAAGAATCGATCTCATCGGAAGGGTGCCAACTTTTTCTGTATCGCGAAATTTAATAGGTCTTAGCTCTGAGATAGTATTTCACTACCAAGTTTGTAAACAACACCGCGGACAGTTGTTCAGTACTTGTCCTCCAGAGCGTTGGGTACTCGGCGTTAGAAGCGGCCAGAACCTAAGCATTGTCACGAACTGTGCACAGGGAAAACACTAATCATGATTCAAGTCAATAGTCAAAATCCGCAATCTGGTATTCCCTTTTCAATCTAAACAATTACTCGAGATTTGCCTTCCTGCCACTTCCTTCACTCGGAACTTAAATACTCTTGCCTGAATAAATGCTTGTAATCTGGTAAGACTCTCTGCGATTTCTAGATCGAAGTAGGGGCTAACTGTATTGATACTAAACAATCGAGCAAAGCAAGAACAAGTTTCAATGATTAATCACTACAATTTGATATCTTATGTGAAACTATCTTGTACAGAATGTAAGTAGGGATATTGAAAGGATTACCAAAAGCCGCATGCCTTAATCAACCCGACGCATAGAAATATATTGTCCTTAAGATATAACAAATAATTAGCTGGCTAGTAATCATCGTGGAATTTGGAGATAGATATTCCTCATGTATCTCTGAAATGATATGCGCATGATTTCAAGTGTGAGCATAAATATTGTTAGCTTTATAGAATCTATGTCCTTCTGATCAGTTGTTGACAGTCAGCTCTGAACATTTTGGTATAGTCGACCACCCTTGAAAAATACTCTCACAATTTATCTAGTTTAGTTGTATTTATGGCGTCTATTAGTTATGTTTTCTTCAATAGGGGGGGGATTTTATCAAAAATTATGTCACAAATATATGCCCGAAGACGTAGTATCTTCATATCATGTATCAGAAAATTTACTCATTAATCCAGACTTCAATGATTCTTTTCTTGGAAAGGTGGTGTCGGAGTCATAGTTATTGCCAAACTTCTTATTAGTCCTTCCAAGTATTTAAGAAATCGGTATCCAATGGGCAGCCAGATATTTCGCACTGGACTGCAATCAACTTTTTTTTGAAGAATTTACGAATATTATAAACTAGTGTTTATATCTGTGGTGGCTAAAGGGACGGGTTGGGGTTATTGCACTTGGTTTGGGCTATTCATCTAAGGTGATAGATTGACTCGCTCATGAGTTTCGCCTTCACAAATAAAAGGCTATCTGGGCGTGTTTAAGGGTGTTAGTGTGGAGTTGCCAGGGGTCCAAAATGCTAGCGAGACATATACCCCAAGCTCCCTAGTATATCTATTGACATGGCCCTAGCTCAGCCTATAGCAGGCTAGGATCGCGACTAGGATACAGCATTCGAAAGGAGGTCGTTATTTATCGCAACATTGTAGGATTCACGCCTGCCTCAACACCCACCTGTGCACCTATTTACATCTACTTGACGAGCTTAGTTAAAATTGTCTTAATTATCTTAAAAAAATCAGATGCCGTAGGTTACACCAACAATATTTAACCTCCGCTTGAAAATACTACACACCATAGTACTCCTTCGAAATCATGTCGGGCGAAAAGGTCAACGAAGAACAAGTCTCTAATCTTCTAGCAATTCTAAGAACAGATGCTACAGTAGATAATAAAGTAAACCTCATCAATCATGTCAAGTCTGGAATTAAACAGAACAACATACCCGAACCGTGTATTCAACCTATCTTCGAAGCGACGCGCATCGCGATGATAGCGCAACAAACTGCTATCGTCAACGCTGGATTCACTACTTTAGGTCATCTACTATCCAGATTATCGCGTCAAGAACCAAAATACATAGTTAAAGAGGCTGGACGTACGTTACCTCTAATTATAGAAAAGATGGGCGATTCAAAGGAGAAATATAGGCAGCTGGCTGCACAATGTCTGACGACTTATTGGGATAAAGCCCAAGTAGATGTTGAACGAATGGTAAAGAATGTTGGCTTAACAGGCAAGAATGTTAGAATGAAAGAGTCCTGTATCACCTGGATAGTTCAGGTAACCCGATCCCCCACAATTTGCGCCATAAACTAAGATAAACAGATGCACCAGGAGCATTCCATGCCGTTCAAAAACTATGTATCAGCACTAATGATACTACTCGAGGATGCAGATGGAATGGTCAGGGATATTGCCCGGAACTCTGTTATCACCTTATTTCAGTAAGAGATAATTCACTTAAGAAGTTCCATACTAATTTCAACAGAAATGCGTCTAATGCAGCAAAATCTGACTTAAAAAGACAGCTCAAGGAATACAATATCAGGCCAACAATTTCATCCACCATCATCGGGTATCTAGCACCAGCAAGCCAACATGAAGCAACCGAACCATCGCCCGCCGATGTGCACTCTAAATCAGCCTTTTCATATAGCGTATCATCTGCAGGAGGTACTAAGCCGAACCTACAGGTACCAGAAGTACGGGTTGATTATATAGACCCTGCGTATGTAAATACGCAAAGAGAATTAGAGGATATGTTTCATGATATGCATCCCCACTTTGAGGGGAAAGAGTCCGAACACAATTGGCTCAAGAGAGAGCAGAGCTGTACAATGATTAGGAGACTAAATTCAGGGAATGCGCCCGTTGACTTTCTCCATGTATTTCTCGCAGGTATCAAAGCGCTACTTGATGGTATTCTTAAGGCTGTTAATTCATTAAGAACAAGTCTATCTAAAGAGGGCTGTAGTGTAGTTCAGGAAATCGTCAAGACAGCTGGGACAGGAATGGATCCTATGGTCGAGATACTTCTTCAAAATTTGATCAAGCTTTGTGGCGGAACAAAAAAGATAAGCTCCCAGCAAGGAAATGTCACAGTCGATATTATCATTAGCAAGGTATCCTATAACATTCGTATAATGCAACATATTTGGGCCGCGTGTCAAGATAAGAATGTCCAGCCAAGAACTTACGCCACTGGATGGCTTAAGACGCTACTAGACAAAGAATCACATCACAAGAGCCACATAGAGCACACTGGTGGTCTCGATCTAATCGAAAAATGCATTAAAAAAGGGCTTACCGATGCAAATCCTGGCGTACGTGAGAGCATGCGGTCAACTTACTGGAAATTTGCTCAAATTTGGCCGACCAAAGCTGAAGCGTAAGTCCGCTTTCATTGGTAGATCAACGTTGCTAATAAAATAAAGAATACGGGGAACTCTGGATGCCACTCAGCAAAAACTCTTAGATAACGTTACCGATAACCCCAATCCGTCCAACAAAGTAGTAACTGCAAGAGCCCGGCCTGGATCAGGACTTTCCAAAAGCACTACAATTCCTCCAAAGCCATCCCTCAGAGATACAGTACTGGCTCAAAAAAAAGCTGCTATGGCCCAAAAAACCCTACCTACTCGCCCTGGATCGGCTATGTCATCTTTCTCCCCTTCTCAAAGCATCTTGCCCCCAACAGCGTCAGATACGCTTCATGTTAGGATGCGTCCAGATCTTAAAACACACTCTCACGGTGGCCTCTCAGTAGCTCCTATGCGACCAACAAGATTTAAATCCGCCCCACGGCCAGAGCTCGTTGCGAGACCCGCAACTGCTGGACCCTACTCTGTTCGACGCCCGGGTCATAAGCCAAGTAACAGTGATTCAAGTAACTCGTCAATTCCAAGCAAACCACAAAAAGCCTCTACACCAATAAGGAATAGTGCTAGTCCAGCACAAAGATATCCGAATAGACCAAGCACAAGCCACTCACTTCATGCATATCAATCTAATCAATCCACCCCTATCAAGAACAGTGCTCGTAAATCTTCAGGCTCTCCAAGAATAAGTCCATCCTGCTCCAGACTACCATCAGTAGACAGCCCTACAAAAACGCATGAGGAGATGACTCTCGTTGTACCATACCTACATGAATCAAAGCATATCTCAACTCCAAAATATTCATCAAGATTAGAGAGATCCTCACCACAGGTGAAACCGGTCCATGTGCACGACGATCCATTTTCTAATGCTGAAGAGAAGACCAAGTCTCGGTTACAGACGTCCAAGCTAGTTCTCGAAAAGGCCCAGGTAAATCAGGATTCACCCAAGGCAAATCAAAATAAAACCGAAGAGTTTGGAGAAACAAGCTTTCCTAGCGAAAGTACAAAGATGAATTCGCCACTTCTCGAGAGTGGTATAAATAAAGTTAAAGCACAATCCCTCGATATGCATGGGTTCCGGAAACTCCAGGGTATTCTTCGGGAAAGTGATATGGTGTGTCTTCACGGTAGATTTAGTGATTTATTGTCAGGCCTATTTGAATATCTCAGGGCACCTCTAGCATCTCTATCGCCTGAAAAAGTACAAGATGTCAAAACTCAAGTTTTAGCCACGATTAAGATCATGTTCAAGAAAGATCGCGAGGCTTTTCGGCCATTTATCGCCACGGGTCTTGAGTCACTCCTCATTGCACGCAGTGCTTACGACAGCCGTGCCTATATTGTAAGTGGACTAGAGATCTTATCAACGGAACTTATCACGCTTGCAGAGCCTTCCAGTACCGTCAACTTTATCTGTGCGCAAATCAAAACGCGCGATACCTCTCCACAAGGCAGCCGCGGTTTAAGTATGGGACTGCATATTCTTAAGGAGTTGTTGAATATAAATCTAGATTTTCACTTTTCCGACGTACAACTAGCGAATGTTTGCGCTTTAGTTGTGGAATGCCTTGACAGCAACGAGAGTGGGGTACGTATGGATGCTGTACAGCTGAGTGTTGCTATTCATACTACGGTTGGAGACAAAAGATTTTGGGAGGTATTAGATGGCGTGAGAGAGGATCCTAAAAGTTTAATTGCTTACTACATTATGAAGCAGCAACTGCAAAAGGAATATACGGGGCCAGCAATAGCAGCTCTGTGATATATTTTACGCTAATTTATCACTTGCGGGAGTTTTATGTTTGATCGAGTAGGTATCATGGTGTTGTTAAGCCCGTCCCTCTATACGAATTAGGCGTCATGGTCTATAAAAGTTTACTACATGATGCAAGGCACTCACCATATGAATCAAGAATACACGTGGATTGTTGTAGCTTCTTATGAATAACAAGAATATTTTACGTAGCTACAAAACCTTGATGAAACCTATGCTGAAGTAATGTGATTTTTATCGCAATCATAAAGGCCTAGTCTAGAGCTAATACATTGCATCGGCAACCGCAAGTGTAATGCTGTCTCATATTAAAGCCAACTCGAGCCATATCATGTCGCGTGCAAGTTTAGATGAAGACTCTGTGGTTGCCTTTCTAGTTTCCGAAGCATCTGTACTTTTCCATAATAGACAACATTCATCAAAGATTCACTTAATGTTAGATAACTTTTTAATGAAAACTAATTCATCAGGCATGACGGAACGTGTAATGAGATCCGCTCATGCAAGAGAGGCACAAGCTCCAATAATTCGGAAGCCTGCATTCGTGGGACACTTCGTTGCTATATGGCTGTTTGACTAATGTTATGAACTCGTTCGAAAGGTGGAATTCCAGTGCCATTGAACTCCGCAGTCGGCGAACGTGATTACTAACCCGAGTTGAAATAGGTAAGTTCATCATGTCTTCAATGCCAGCAATAAAGACTTCTTCCCCAACAAGTGGTGCTGGTGTAATCGCTCAGCATGCTCTGCATATCTGGGATAGCCAAGAAGAATCGCATCCGAATCGAAGTCAAAATCAACCTCAAGCAGATCTCCATTTGACGACTTCTCCACAATGCCTCTCTTACCATTCTCATTTGAGCCCTCAACCTCTTTCCAATCACGCATAATCTCGCCTCAACGACCGATAAAGAAGTTGCTCCAATTGCAAACAGGAGCTTGCCCTATCAATTACCAGCAAACTCCCACTACAAACTTACGACGCCACGTATACCCGCAAGGAAGAAATGAAGTCACAATATACAAAGTTGGGTCATGGTTTATGGGGGACTGTAGCTCTAATGGGGTTATACAACTTGAGGAATAATAGGCGGCTGAGATGTGGGGCGACAGGGGGATCAGGTCTCTGAAGACCATGCTGGGTCTGATATTTTCGGGGGGTTTTCAATGTTGGACATTTTGTGGGCGTCAAGACCAAGATTTCGGCTAATTAGTCAGGAGTACTTCAATTGCCGGTGAGTCAATGACACCCTTCAAGGCCCTGAACGGCACAAAAGAAGCCGGGCTTAGCAAATATACAGTAATCACTCTCTATCAAGACTTTTCTGCCATTTCAGCACGACCTTCAGGAAATGGTTAGAAGGAGGCTAGAAAGGTAGAGTGAGAGTTTCTCGAGGTACTCACAAGACTGCAGCGCCCAGCTGGACGGCCTCTTCGAACGCTTCAGAAGGGTCACTATGTCATGGATTTAGTCCTGATATCGGTATTAGGAGAGCTCCGCAGCCAGTGGTTTTTGCAATTTCTCCCGGCTGCCAAACACCCGCAAATGGCCATCGTTTCGTTGGCTGGAGAGGGGAGATAATGAAGGGCAAAGGGCTCCTCTTAGTGTATGATCGAATGAGGACTTGTGAGGGGTGGTACTGTTTGAGGGGAGCTGTATGGGAGGCACAGGAGGGGATATACTACTGGTATAGGTATCCTTGGCCTGTAGGCAGAGAGGTCCTATAAGTCTTTACATAGTTATAGACTTATCAGGACAATAAACACTCGCGCACGAGTCTATTGTAGCACTATCGTATCTGATTCTACCCTATTAACGCCCTTGATTATCATTTCAGTCTCTTATGGATAGAAAATGTTGATTTGTCAAAACGACTAGGGTTAGATCCCTGTACATTTTGATTAGATTGGTTTTGTCTTCATGCAGGCCCATGCCTAGCTCGTCTACTAGCTATGTAAGCAAGAGAAATATCCAATGATGTTCTGTGAAAGTCTAAATTATGGGGATGGTTTTGAACTCAATGGGAAAAGTACAATGGTCCTCATTTAAAGTTAAAAAAATCAATTGATATTCTCTAAAAATGCACATCTATTTCAAAAATTATCGCTCTGTATTACAAAAGTCTACATCGAAGCCCTCAGTATGGCTCGCAACTAAAATGAAAGCGTAATAAATGTTTTGTATTTGTCTGCTCCATCCTAATACTTTGTGTACCATCCATTTGCCTTTATCATCGCCACACGTCTTTCGTGCATGTTGACCACACTTAACGGAGGCTTCTTCCGAGCAATGCATCTGCTGTAACCTATTTTAATGAGGGCATTTGAAAGTACGTGCTCACTGCATCCCTAGTGGCGGAAGGGCCCCATTTCTAGTTCCAAATAGCACATCTGTCGACTATCAGGAGATTGCCACACGGTAGCCTCAAGCTCATCAACTTTTTCCGCGCTTAATGTTGGCGAGCGTCCTTCGCGAGGTATAGGATCCTCATACTCTATGATGCAAAAAAAAAAAAAAAAGATCCTCATACTCTCAAGCTCAAGCACAAGCACGTTGTACTTGTCTCATTGTGAAGCCAAGTTCGTCGGTAATATTTTATAATGTCAAGCTAAGTCTTCTTAATGTTCTTATTTCAATAGATTGATCGCGAGTTAGCTGCTTGCGAACTTTGGTTTCTGAAGAAGACTTTTCGAGAAACATTGTTTGCTAAAATAGAGGATGAATTGATAGAGATGTTAAGGATCAAGGGCTTTTTTTGTTCATTAACGTGCTCGGTTAAGTGATTACCGTTGCACTCCTACTGGAGCTTAAGCACGAGTGGGACCAGGCCGGATCAGGCTAACTACCATTAAGTACATCTAGCTCCTCCTGCCTGAATGACCGGAACACCTCAGATTTCACCCATGTGTTGAATCTTGTCAAGCCCAGCTGTCCAGAGAACTCTCTTTTGGCGCGCCGAAGTGCAAATTCCGCCTCAGCCTCGGCCACCATGCGCCCGAGCCCTTGACATCCTCATTGACCCCAAGATATAAATACCATCCAATATCTCATCGTTGCTCTTGCCTTGCAACTTCATGTCGTACCGTTAGGTTGTTGTCGTCATTCAGGATTAGTGTAATCCCCTCAGTGTATCTTCTCTTTTCTTCCTCCTTTGTACACGTCCCGTTTCCATCATGACTTTACTCATTAGGGCGTGCGTAGGTAGGTGATGTGACGAGTATGGAGGTGGGTCGCAGGTGTAGAATTGACTGAGAAGTGGATCGTGGCAAATCTAAAAGGAGTTTGAGATGTGGGATGTTTGAATACGACCCCCAGATAGACCTAATCCATTCGCGAATAGTATGTTGGTAGTGATGAGTTCTTGTTCAACTTTGTTCCGGCTGTGAAATTTGTGCCGGCTGATTTTTTGACCAAAATATCGAGTACAATCACGAGGTATGAAAATGGTAGAGAGGCAGCCTTAGGAATGTAAGATAGATTGGCTATGGACGGAGAAATATGAGTAACTACAGCGAGCTCTATATACATGAGGTGTGGGTGGAGGGCAAGACTGAACACCTGTACGCGGTGTCCTCTACGAACCTGGGAGTGAAATATTCTCCCAGAGCCAAGTTCAGTCAAATTTCGCAATATCAAAGAAGTTGGCCCACGAGGCAAAAATCCAAATTACTCATCCACGTCGTTATTTCGCTCCCAACGAGTTTGACTCCTATCTTCGTCTCATCGAGTCTACAAGTACGACCAAGTACATTCTCATTCCAATGACCACACCACTCTTCGACCTTCTCTGGCCTCAGCTGGTCACCAAATACACGCCTACGCCGATATTTATACCCGACGGAGGAAGGAAAGCGTGGCGCACAAATCTGGGAGACAGTTCTTTGGGATGGATGTGAGAGGGATCTGGACAAGTTGACATGATGATACGAAGGAAGGATAAAACCTCGACGGGCGTGAAATTCTGAATTTTGGCAAGGAGTTTTTCGAATGGGCTTTGTGCGCGCCGAGACTTCGCTTGCGAGAGTGCAGCTGACACTATAAACACAAGCAAACGATGGAAGGTGTTGTGGTCCGCCTCCTGGTGGTGTTCTCTGGTATAGTTTGAGTAGCCTGGGCACCTACTCCACTTGGGAAGGAGATATCTCAGATCACATATCGCGCGGAGAAAAGTTGAAAGATGATGGAGGCATGTCTGGATAACTCAGGGTTTTTGAGATGTTCCCCTGGGTGGGTATTCACGGATGAGGGTTGACTTGGGGTGAAGAAAAAGCCACCAAAACTTCGCAGTGGTACTTGCAAATGAAATCTGAGGCATGAGTGCTCCTCTTGTAAATTGAGTCATCTTTTCTGTACTTTCCTTTGATATTGTGTCATAGCTAGATAGCTGCATACGCAATTAAAATCTGATGCAAAAAAAAAAAAAAAAAAAAAAAAGAGGTGTGGGTGTTTGCTGAGTAATGCCAAGACTAGATTGGCACTCATGTCACGTGTAGGTGTTTCATGTTCAAGCACCTACACTGCCTTGCTCATTGCATGTTTGGAGCCCTGAGGGCGTATATATATATTTTTATATAGTTCATTATCCTGATTCGGCGCCTTGAGGCCCATGCAGGTTTTTATCGGAAGATATGTACTTTAAGTAGGATGACTCAATTTGACGATTAGAACACTCACACTCAGATTTCATTTGCAGATACCACTCGAGGTTGACCCTCACGACGTGTAACCTCTTCCGTGCATACCCACCACAGGGAAAAGCGTGAAAAACCTGTGGCTATCCGAGTGTGCTTTCATCATCCCACAAGAACGATATCACCGCGAGAGAGAGTGGTATGTGGGTCTGGCTGGATTCGAACCAGCTTTCTCCTGTCTCGAATGGGGTAGGTCCCTGAGGGCGTAACTAGTGCAACTCCTTCAAGTCTAAAATCTATCAAATAATATTCATCCCACCCTATTTCGTGACTGAATCTCGGCTCTGGAAGAATATTTCGCTCCCAGGTTCGTAGAGGGCACCACTGACAGGTGTTCAGCCTTTGCCCTCCAGAATCAAGGGCTTTGTTGGTAAGGCAGTCAAAAGTGTCGTTGAAAATGGGTTCCATAACTTATGTCAGGAAAAGACGATTGAGCCTCACTAAATGGCGAGCGGGGAAATGAGGAGAGACAGTCTAGCCTACTACGAGCTAGCCCAACTGCGCCTGCAGGGATTCTTCCTAAAATAGCCCAGTTTGGAGTTTAACTTTTTCTATCCCTGAAGGACTGTAAAGTTCAATGTACAGAATGACAAACCTGCATTATTCAAAGCTCTTCCTAGCAGCTTCTTGGCTATTGGCTGATCGCATGATGGCAGCGGCTCACACGGGTCGAGCGAGCTGGCCGCGGAGACGATCATCCTCATCAGCCCCACTATCTTTAATCATCCAAGGGATTTGGAGCCCCGGATAAGGATTTCAAGCTTAAAACAAACAAAAAGAGTATGGTAATTACCACAAAAACAAAGTCTTGGACGTTGGGCCGACAAGCATTAGAACACAGTCTCAACCCATAATACATGCACGACTAACAGGGAAACAAATGATTAACACTTCAATCGACCGTTGGTCTCGCGTTTTGACAAGAGAAAGTTGTGGGACATTGCGCCTTGCCACCCGAAATTTTAGGGAGTTAAACCCTTCGACAGACTGACGGATGCCCTGCGACAATGACGAGTATTCACACCACATGCTCTCAGACTGATGTATGAACGATTTGCATGACGGCAGAAATATGTAGGAAAAGAGCGATAGCCAGCAGTGGTAATTTTGCTTACTCAATTGGGTTGTGGTAAGCTGGACATCAAGTAAAGAGCTACAAGGAGTAGCTTTTCTTTCATTAAAGTAATTCTGCAGCAATGATTTTATCCTAATGACCATGGCTACGCCTCTGAAGATTCTTTGGGTAAAACGTGCTCGTATCGTCGCTTAAAGTTGGTATTTACTAGAGTAAAGATGGCAAAAGAGACTTAACTCTGCGGGACTCCATAGATGGGTATTTCCTAGCGGTGGTCTTGGACTCTATGGGGCCATGATGCCATGAAAATCATAGGCTTTGTATTTGTGGGATATGGGTAGGTCAAGCGCTGAGGCGGGATCCGGATATAGGACTCTGCTGACCTCGTGTCCAAAGTCTCTTGTTGAAATCTTTATTAGTCCTGTGATAAAGCGCCCATCTATCATGTGGCTAGCTGTTTAATGGCTTAACCGAAACCCAACTATTGTGATAAGGCCCTATTCCAAGTAATAATTTAATCTAAATTACGCCACGCAAACCCAGGGTTAAAGGACCAAACGTTCATTACCATAATATTTTCTCCCACTCATTTCAGATCAACGAACCGAATATTTAAAATTTAATCCCGAATCCCCCCAGGTCGTCCCTCTATTCACTCTGGATATTCACGCATTTATCCTCCTATTTACTTCATGTTTTCCCCGATGGCAAGTATCTTTGAGGGTGGCTAATCTTCATCATCAATACCTAATGCTTTCTTCAGAGAGTTTAGTTCATGTTGTAGGTGGTCAATGCCGCCTTGAATGCCGCTTATTAGGCCGTAGACCTGGCGCTGTTTACCCCTGGGCAGCGTATCAATGAGGACAAAAGAGTTTGCGTCTTCATGGCCCACAGTTCCCTCTCTCGTATTCCGCTCGTTTCGAAAGCCGGCACTACTGTTCTCCTGTGAATGATACATTTGAATATTCGATGGCTGATTGACTGATGGCCAGGCAAGAGAACTCCTCTGTTCCAGGGCATCAGATACACCACTTGCACCGCTGTTCCTACCGTTTAGCACCCCGGAAGTATTAGAGGTTGTTGCTTGCAGCTTGACGGAAGCCCAGGGCTGCTGGCCCATGTTAACCAGGCGACGTGAACTATTGCCAAGGTCCTGATCCCACTGTGGATGTCGAAGATTTTCCCATTCTGGCATAGGGGTAGATGCTATGGGTGCTGTAGTGCGGCGACGCTTAACCTGGGTTCCTTTTACTGGACTTTTCTGCAATGCTGTGCTTGGTGAAGAGTCTACAACGTTCGGTGTTCGCAACAAGCGGGAGGCACTGTTTGGACTCTCGGGCGGATCTAAGCAGTTGAAAATCATCATTAGTAGCCCAGTTACGTGACACTCCCTGCTCACCATCTTTCTTCTTAATGCTACATCGATTCGGCCTGCCGCTAAGCTGATAACCCACGTTAGAAGGGGACCTCAGTAAACGTTATCGCAAATGGGCATTACTTGGCAACTTGCACATGCACCCTATGGCATAATTAGCGACAGAAATTAGGCCAGACACTGCCGGTCATCACCGACGCCGATAGACATACTTTGAAAAAATTTGGAAGGCTGATGCAAACGCTGAATTTTCCTCTGCCGTTGGCGCAGCTGTTACAGGGTAGAGCCTGGACTTCACCACGCGTTGCCAGCAAGCAACCAAATCTAATCTGTTTCCTCCGAGATTCTCCACCAGTTTCGTTCTCAGCACCGGGCTCTACCCCATCCCTCCATGGCAATGTTCTCTTCTCAGGCATTGTGACTAGTCGTTCCTCCATGGTACCGCCACTGGACTGCCGGTTTCGAGACCGCGCAAAATTTGCCGACGGCGCTTCGGGACGAGCACTGACACTTCCCGAGCCGACATGAGGCGATGAGATGTCTTTATCCAGGGGATCTGGCGTTTCGAAGTTTCGAGGCGCTCTATTGATCTGAGTTAGGAGAGAATTGATATCGATTTCCGGGCTCATGCTTTGTGGAGATGAGGCGCGTGACCATGAAAAGTCGCCCTTGATGCTAATGGAGTCGCCGTGATATTGTGTAACGTGCGCGAAGGGAAGGGCTGGCGGCATTGTCATGAGAAATGTTGCGCAGACAATTACTCTACTATCAAGACGAACTCCCTTCACACAGTAGAGATACTGCCCCACCCCCAACCGATAAGGATTTGCGGGGTGCAACAATCCTTGAACCATCAGAACGAAGAGTTAACGTTCAGTGAAAGACTTTCAACCACTTCATCAGTGACTATACCTGCTATGGCACCCAGTAAGTGATGAACGTGGCCTAATTACAGCTCTCAATCCATCTTGTTGCCGCATGACTAAGTAACTAGCTGAATCTGATTAGGCAATCATCAATGAGGCTAGCCAATGATAGCCTTCCTTAGAGTTTTCATTCATCAATGAATATTCTCTAACATTTCGATCACCTTTATATGTCTCTCTCTGCGAATCAGTAGCCCAACCCAGGTACTTTTCTGTCGTCCTTTGGTCCCTCGATTACACCTGCAAGGCCTTAGCGCCTCCGCATCTCCGTTTTTGCCTAAATCGTCCCACCATTAGATTTTCTCCGGCGTTTTCTGGGACTGAAAGCTCTGCTCGACTTGCTCTACCGCTCGACTCAACTCGGATTCCAGCTCGGGAAGGTTGAGGGCTGTGGCTACTTGCTTAATATTGGGCCTGCGGCACAGAATAACTTCATTCCAATTTGGTGTAACAGATTTTTGTTTCAGGGCGTAGGGACCATTTACCGACATTGGGGACTTTCCAATGGCGTATAATTCATTGAGGATGGACAACGGCCGGGGAGTAACAAGTCCCTTGTTAAGTAGGAATTGAATGTGTTTACATCCTGCCAGTGCTCGCCAATGAGACCATGCGCGAAAGACGAGATAGAAAAACGGTAAGTTAGGAATACTGAAAGAGCCTTAGTAAGGACCCAACCACTTTCAAATAGTACATACACAGGTATTAACATCACAGGTGCAGATATTGGCATCCCAATCATTGAATATATCATTCTTGTCCTATGTAGTCGCTGTCTCTCCGAGCCCATCTTGTGCAGAATCTCAGGAAGATCCTCCCTAGATATAACGCTATCGGGAAAGATTACTTCAACTTTGTCACTTCTTACTCCCTCGGCACGGCTAGATAGTGGAGGAATTGATTTCAATGCCCATTCCTCGAATGGAATTTTGCGAAGAAGCTGGTTGCCATACTTTACCACCTTCTTCTGCCAGTTTGTCCCGTCTTTCCAATCAGTCCATAGTTTAGCCGCTCGTAGTGTACCTTTGTCGCTCCAGCTTTCCTTAACAGCACTCGTTAAATTCAGCCTTTGACAATAAATTAGAGTCCTGCTTGTCGATATTGGTATCAGAAACAGGCGCATGATTTTGCTGCGATACTAGGTAGTATGCGGGAAGAGTTGCGCGATAAAAGATATTAATCATCAGTCAATCTGAGGCGGGAATGTTCGATGTCTAATGGTGGCAATGGACTCTTTCTGGGCATACGCGGGAGACAGTTGTGAAACAGACAATTTCTCTCACTTATTTCGATCTGAGCCACTGCCAAGATAATTAACCTGGTGGCTGATTCTCAATCCCACGTGCACTGACGGTCCCTGTTCCTTGGGCGCCTGACTGTCCACCAGCCTCAAACATCTTTCCCATCCCCCCCTTAGACATGGTCATCGTTACAAATGTCACACGGATATATATTCTCAGCCACCTACGAATCGACAATCGTTTGGAGGCCCTGTTATCCTAACTCAGTGTCCATCCTAAAAAGCAATGCCGTCAAGATTTGGCTACGGGCATAATTCCGCAAACTTCGGCGGGCTATTCTAGCAGACTGCAGTCCGGCAACTTAGGGAGACGTGCCATGAGTATCTCTCCACATAGGCCGCAATTAGATGTCTCTCTCGCATCACAGAATGGCCCCTCCAGAACTCCACGATTGGCACCTCGCTCACCTGGAGCATCTTCGAATGGGCGCGGGTCCACAAAGAATATGGACCCTTCCAACCAGAACCAGCAGGACTCGAATTCTTCGCGCAATACATTAAACTCTACTAACACACGCATCAACCACAAGGCTGTTCATCAAGACGTTCGGGCACTTCCTTGTATGAGAAAATTTACCATTTGACTGAGTTAAAGTGCTAATGTTAGCCACAGCCTGGATAAAAACCTACGAAGAAGATGATGACTCTCCGTTTTCTAACACTGCCGCTACTCAGATTAATCCTCCATCAAGGACGCATATTGCAGACCACCACTACACAACGGGCGAAGGCTCCCGGAGAGTATCTCAAGATGGTTACATTGACACTCATGAAGACACTTCCAAAATTATGAACGAAAAGAAATCTGAAACAGGGTTCTTTAGTGGCTACAGAGAACCGGTGAAAGGCCGAAAATGGGACCATGCCAGAGATGGAGAACCTGTAATTGTGCAGGCTGGTGTCCCTAATAATACCATGCCCTGGCGAACATATATCACGAAATCTATTCCAAAAGTAGCTTCAGACGAAGAAGGTACGATAGTCGACGAGGGATTTCTTCTTCAACAAACACCTGGCTACATGACTCCATGGAGAGGCGATCTAGAAAACGCCAATGACCCCGAAACTCTTTCAGGCTTATTACACAGCAAACGTCAGCGGAAGACCTTGATGAAGCGGATACGCGTATGCAATACTCAATTCTTTCATAAGTAGTATTCTAACTAAAGCTAATTGAATTTAGCACCACCTTTTAATGCATCCGCTTGTACCCTTATTGTTTCGCATCACAGTTCTTGCAACATCTGTTAATGCTTTGGGTATAGCTACTTCAGTGCATCATCTCTCGAAAAAGTATCACTATGAACAAACCCCTTCTAGTACGATGGCTATCATGGTCGATGTGATAGCTATCCCATATATACTCTATATCACCTGGGACGAATATACTGGAAAACCACTGGGATTACGTTCGCCCGGTGCTAAAATACGGTTGGTCCTTTTGGACCTTTTTTTTATAATATTTGAGTCTGCGAATCTAGCTCTAGCTTTCGGAGCACTAACTTCCGACAATGGAAGTTGCCAGGACTCTATGAATGGCACCAATTATATTATCTGCAATAGAGTCAAAGCCCTCTGCGGTATCTTAATGGTCGCGTTATATGCATGGAGTATAACATTTGCAATTAGTATTTTTAGGTATGAAGTTCTTTCCTGCTAGATCTGGTCGCCTACTAATTCCAAAGGCTTGTTCAACGAGTAGGTGGAAAGGAAGAGGAGTAATGTTCTCAAAGAAGAGCAGCAAGCCACTCATATTTCGGCGTATTTTTGGGGGTGAGGATGGATCTTGACTGGGATTAGCACGTGGCGTTTTGGAATGGAATAGTCATATCGGGAGTATATTCAGTAGCTGGGCAGGCTATCTTGAAACTGTAACAAATATGCGAATCACCTTTAAAAATTTGAAATAATAATGCATAATTATTATACAACTGATTTTACCCACCAAGGTTTCCGATGCTACAACCGATGAAAGTATTGTGCTGTCTCCGGAAGGTATCTCGATTAAATTGTGATTTTTTCAAAAAACCCACATTTGCATGGGTCGCCTTACTATCCTTACTTTAATTTCCTAACCTGTCTCACAGGGATTAAACGTTACAAATTCCACGACGCCAGCTTGCCTGAAACAATCGATTTTGAACAGCGCAGGCCTATGTATCTTTGACGGGTCACATAGACGACAATAGCTGGTATGGTTTGGGCTAGAGTGAGAAGTCTTGTAAGCCAGCCAATATTATCCCGAGTTAGTATTGCTGATGAGACTGCTGGATTTTGTGTATCATCCCTGTTGCCTTGGTCAATTACCTAGCGAGATACCATGAGGCCGGTCAGGTCTTGGATTGAAGCCGAAGGTCGTGTTTGGGCCGACAGGGCCCCTTGACTTCTACCTACAGACCGATAGGGGAGCTGGGTTATATGACGGTAGATTGCCGCTGTGGAGCACGGCATTCCTTAGTCTAAGTCTCCAATGAGTGTCGGGGCCATCGGGATTCTTCCAGCACGGCCCACGCCTGGCCCTTCCTTGAACGAAGGAGAAAACCACCCGAGTTGTCGCCTTATCTCCTGCTCGAATCAAAACTTGATAGCTGCTGCTCTACATTTTCCCTTCGTGCTGAGCCTAGAGCAGCTCCAGTATTCCGTAAAAATTCATCATGACTAAGTCTACAACGGATAATCATATCACCTATGAGCCGTGCTTGACTCACGTCCCACGCAACAGACCTCACCACACAAGAATTCATGTGGGTGTTGAATCATGTCAAGTCTAGTTATCCAGAGCGTCTGCGACTTCGCACTGGCGCACCATCTTCATGTGACTTTTCCTTCAATTAAGCGTCGAGCGGTTATATGCAATCGGCAGAGATGGGTGAAAGGCCTATCCTATGTCCAAAAGAGGCCACTCGCAGAGGGCAGAAGGCCATGGAGTACCCAGTCCATTTAAAACGGGCCCCTCACTATCCAATCTTCACTCCCGAACAACGTGGGCCCTTTATGAGTCTCTCTACAGTCCCCTCTGTCGAGATATGAGAATATTATTGGGGAATTAATGACCCCTCGCTCATTGAGGTTGTAAAGCGCATTGATCCAAGTCACTACCGAAGTGAAGGTATCTACAGAATTTGTAGTCACGTGTATATCAACAACCTAGCCTACTTGATAGCTCCAAGTATTCTAACTTCCAACAAATATTGAATTTGATTTTGATTTCATTATCCTGATTTGGCGCCCTATGGGCCCATGCAGGTATCTACAGTCTATAATATTTACCCGGGAGGAAACCTTTATGGATCTTACAAATATTAATAATCACTAGATGACTCCTTTTTTTTGGCGTCAGATTTTAATTGCGTATGCAGCTATCTAGCTATGACACAATTTGAAACAAAAGTGCAGAAAAGATGATTCAACATAAAGGAAGAGCACTCATGCCTCAGATTTCATTTTCAATTACCACTGCGAAGTTATGGTAGCTTTTTCTTCACCCCAAGTCAACCCTCATCCGTGAATACCCACCCAGGGGAACGTCTAAAACCACTGAGTTATCCAGACATGCCTCCATCATCTTTCAACTTTTCTCCGCGCGAAATGTGGTCTGAGATATCCCCTTCCCAAGTGGAGTAGGTGCCGAGGCTACTCAAACTATACCGGAGAACATCACCAGGAAACGGACCATAACACCTTCCATCGTTTGCTTGTTTTTATAGTGTCAGCTGCACTCTCGCAAGCGAAGTCTTGGCGCGCAAAAAGCCCAATTCGAAAAACTCCTTGCCAAAATTCGGAATCTCATGCCCTTCGAGGTTATATCCGTCCTTCGCATCATCTTGTCAACTTGTCCAGATCCCTCTCACATCCATCCCAAAGAACTGTCTCCCAGATTTGTGCGCCACGCTTTCCTTCCTCCGTCGGGTGTAAATATCGGCGTGGGCGTGTATTTGGTGACCGGCTGAGGCCAGAGAAAGTCGAAGAGTGGTGTGGTCATTGGAATGAGGATGTAATTGGTCGTACTTGTAGACTCGATGAGACGAAGATAGGAGTCAAACTCGTTGGGAGCGAAATAACGACGTGGATGAGTAATTTGGATTTTTGCCTCGTGGGCCAACTTCTTTGATATTGCGAAATTTGACTGAACTTGGCTCTGGGAGAATATTTCATTCCCAGGTTCGTAGAGAGCACCACTGACAGGTGTTCAGTCTTGCCCTCCGCGCGCTGTATCATGTGCCTAGGGTTAACTGACTGCAGTTTACAGCATCACATGATTCATTTTATAGAAGTTAGGTTATGCAGCAGATAATTTCAAGTCTCAAGTATTAGTTGAGGGGCGAAGATAGGTCTTGCGATCGATTTCAGATTTCAGGTGTTCAGGCCATGGGGGGGGGGGGGGTCCGAGAATTTCATCACATTCAAACTGTTGTGATCGGGCTGGTAGTTTTGACGGTTAGAGTTAGGTTAAGACCTGACTAGATATCTGAAATTAATACATTAGGCATGGAAAATTTATTTCTATAATTCGAGCCAACCTTGTTGATAGAAGCAATGATGAATGAATTAATGTTTATTCGTGACGGGCACAAGCCCTGAACTAAAAGATCATAATACAGAGAAGACTAGCTTCTCAGACAACTTTTTTTTTTTCATTTAATGTGTATTCAGCTATCTAGCTATGACACATGACCGGTGCTATGTATAAATGTGGGATGACTCTTTTGACGTTGGAGACACTCATACTCTGGATTTCATTCGCAAATACCACTATGAGGTATGTTCGCTTACACAAACAGTCGACTCTCCTCCGTAAGTACCCACCAAAGGGAATTTCAAAACCTTTGGTTATCCAAGCATGCCTTCGTGATCCATGTATACCAGCGCCGCGAGAAATGTGGTTGTATTTTGCCGGATTTGAACCAGCGATCTACTGTCTCAAGTGGGATATGTGTCCAAGCTATCCAGACTCTACTTGGCAGACCGGCTAAGACGATGTACCACCGCACCATCCAACCATGGCGGTGTTTATAGTGTCGACTGCACTCTCGAAACCGAAGTCTTGGCACGCACAAAGCTCAATTTGTAAAAACTTCTTGCCAAGATTCCACGCCGGTCGAGACTGTATCCATCCTTCGCATCATCTTGTGAACTTGTCCTGAATCCTCTTACGTCAATCCCAAGGAACTGTCTTCCAGATTTGTGCGCCACGGTTTGCTTCCTCCGTCGGGTGTAAATATCGGCGTGGGCGTGTATTTGGCGACCAGCTAAGGCCAGAGAAAGTCGACGAGAGGTGTGGTCATTGGAATGAGGATGTTCTAGGTCGTACTTGTAAACTTGATGAGGCTTGGATAGGAGTCGGACTCGTTGGGAGTGAAAATTTGACGTGGAGGAGTAGTTTGAATCATTGCCTCGTGGGCTAACTTGTTCGGTATTGCGAAATTCGACTGAACTTGGCTCTGGGAGAATATTTCACTCCCAGGTTCGTAGAGAGCACCACTAACAGGTGTTCAGTCTTACCCTCTCCCAGACAACTTTATACGACGATAACTCGGTTTAACATTTGGACTACTCATGTAGTGGTTGTATTCGCTGATACCACTCGAGACCTTTGCACGGGGGACTCTTACACTTTCATCAACCTTTAATGTCCACCAAAGCGAAAGCAGAAAAAACTTTTGGCTACCCTAACTGTCACGAGAAGATTTCTTAGCTGGGATTGACGAAGTCTAATCTTGTTGAATTAAATAGTCTACGAAGGGGTAAAGTATGTCTATGTATCTACAAAATATATATTTACAGTGGGTCGCTGTTTTGATTAAGCTAGGTCATGTGACTTATGCGAATCGACCGTTTCTTAACACTTAGATGCCTTTGTCATCTTACACTTAGCCGCCGTGTGAGATATGGCTTCACAGTCCTCCATTTCTCGGGTGAGGTAGGTGTCCAGGCTACCCAGACGTGAATTCAGGGAGATGACGAGCAGGAGGCGTACCGAAACACCTTCTATCGTTGCCTGTTTTTAGATTGTCGGTAGCACTATCCGAATCGTAGCCTCTGCGCCCACAGATACCCTTAAGTCGAAAACGCTCGTAAAATGTGCGTCCCAAAATTCCCATTTGTAACCTCTCCACTCGTTCTTCCCACGTTCCAGCCGCCTGTTCTTCCTCAAGATGTGAAGCCCCATAAGAGCATCGGTCCCCCATAGACCAAGTCCCGAGTTTGCAGTTTATGACTTAATTTACTCCTCGCGGGTATACATAGCATTTTAATTCTGTAGAGGGAGATGGCTGGTTTTTGATGAGGCAAATGCCCCATTGCAATTGGAGTAACGCCATCATCGATATTTGAGGCGAGGTGGTGTGGTGTGGTAAGATTGAGGTGGAGGACTCGCGTGATAATGATAGATGCGTATTGTAATAACGAGGTTATGAGAAGTCTAAGAATTGTCACAAAGGATGTAACAGTCAACTTGGGTGGATGTAGGATAGCACTTTAAGTCTAACGTGAACAAGGTAGATATGTATAGTAGATCTGCTATATTGATGACTATTGAATATAAGAGTGGAAAAGGTTGATCATATACAGAGCTCTAGCAGCAAGTATTTATACACAAAGACAATACATACAATTAACCATCAATAGCAATAACTGCCAACCATTCAGCCATTCAACAGCTATGTCATTAGATATACCTGCGTCATATTATCATGTATGGTTGAGATACTGGTGTTGTCATTGCTGTGTGCCGATGACGTATCATTGACGCAGGGTCGCTTGTCCTGTCGGTTCACTTGCCCAATACTAGCCATTCCAAGTTGTGTGATCTATAAGTGGGCCTGATCACAACAATCCGACATTGACGAGAAGTCATCGATTTTAGATGTGCTTGTGAGTACTTTCGATTTTGATTCGGATACGATTCTTCCTGGCTACCCCAGATATGCAGAGCATACTGAGCGATTACACTGGCACTACTGGAAGGTGAAGAATTCGGTTTTGCCGAAGAGAGGTCGCGGAAGAGAAGTGATTTGATTTTGATTGAATTTAACGTCATGCCTATCTACAGCTCGTGATTACTGTCACGTACTGGACGGCCCAGTCCCTACAGAACTACCCGACGCTCTACCGCGCACTACAGCACCTAAAAATTAAAAAAGAGACCGACCAGCTGTCCACCAAGTTTAGTCCAACGCTGGTGCCCTTGCAGATATCTCGCTTGAGCTAGATTCGACATCGGACCATAGAACTCTTGCGGGAGACGTCCCCCGTCCGAACTCGAAACCCAGAGCTGTTATCAAAACTGGCCAACCCTTCCGAGTCGCAGACGACGCCCTCGAGGACTTTGCCAAGGTGCTAGGAAGGTAGGCTCATGGAATAGAGCTACAGCCAATGGTCTCAACAAACGCGGAAGACAATCTCACTGATAAGCCGGTCCAAACCATCAGCAATACAATTAGGGCTACCGGAAGACGCGGGAGTTTAAAGAAGGGTAGGACAACACCTTGGTGGGCGTTGGAGTACTTACAGACCAAACACGAATACAGGATATTAAGGGACGAAGAGTGAAGAAAGGCTTTCCGACGCATACTCAAAAGTGCAAGATGCCAATACTGGCGGCGTAAGTTCTTCGAAGCCACAACCGGCGTCGAAATGTATCAGATGGCATGTTGGGCAAAGTCGCGGCCCTCACCTGCTGCTCCACCACTCCAAGCTTCCAGCAGCTATGTATCGGAACCAGGAAAGCGTGCACTTCTGTTGTGTGACCTTCTTCTCGGGCGGTTCACCAGCTAAAAAGACATCGACGCTGATCACCTCGAGCTCGGCCGCGGAAACCTTCCATGGGTCTCAAGAGTCATAGACGAAGAAGCCAAATGGGTCTCAACGGCTTGCCAAAACAAAGCTCCTAGATTAGAGACAATTTTCGTCCGACTCCTCAGGACAGCTCGGCCGTCAATTGGCCACGCAGTGAAAATACTCTTTGAGAGCTCACTGCGACTAAATCACTTTCCAAAGGCATCCAGGCTAGCCGAAGTAATTCTTCTTCCCAAACCCGGCCGTAATATCAGTACAGCTTAAAGATGGAGGCCCATCGCATTACTCTCATCCCTCCGCAAAAGTCTTGAGAGACTAGTCTCGAGACGAATAACATATACCGCGATTTCGTACAAGGCTGTGCCTCAGCAGCTTCTTGGAGCACTCTTCGGCAGATCCGCTAACATCCTTGTCTCATGCGCTATCCACGATGCGGAGCATGCGATGAAAAGGCAGAAAAAAGCAGTCCTTGTCACTTTGGACGTAAAGGGGCCATTCGACGCTGTTATTCACGGACGACTGCTCCAAAGAATGAAGAGAATGGGCTGGCCAGATGCATCTATCTACTGGATAAAATCCTTTCTCCGAGGACGATCGACCCACGTCAGGCACGAGGACGGAGTAACAGACCCAATTCACCTAGAATGCGGGCTGCCACAAGGATCGCCTTTATTCTCCATTCTCTTCCTCCTTTACATGGCCGAAGTCGTGGGAGGCAGTAGTTGGAGATTTGGCTATGCAGATGATGTTGCTACCTCGGCATAGGCTCAACCCCAAACGAAGCCGCAGTAGCTGTCCAGAGAGAAGTCGATACAGTCCTAGGGTGGGCTGCTGATAACGCCGTATCTTTTAACCCAGACAGGGCCGAAGTATTCAACTTCCTCGACACTAGATCTAGGGGATACAAACTTCCGACTACAAGGGTAGGCACTCGCGATGTACAAGTATCCGAAGACATCCGATGGCTCGGAGTACACCATGATCGCGGTCTAACCTTCGAAAGCAATGTCGCAAAATGGACCTGTAAAGCAATGCGGCTAGTGCAACACTTCTAACTGCTCACTCAGTGCACCCAGGGACCAAGGCCCGACTTACTACCAACAGTCATTCGGACAGTAGTTCTGCCAATTGCGTCGCACGCAGCGGAATTCAGGTGCCCGGGGCCAACCAGGGAAACGTATCTGTTACGGTTTGGCCGTTGTTTAAGCTTAGGAGGAAACCTAAGCGTTTAATTAGGAATAATTACGATAAAACTGAAAGAGAAAGGATGGGCAAATACAGTTGAAATGGCACCACTAGCCAGGAGTTCGAAGCAACATCACAGCGTAATGGCTCCTGATAATACTTGGCTCGGTAGTAAGTATTAGGCCTAGGGAAAGTTATCAGTCAGCAGATTCACGAAGCGGACCAAACGTTATATGTACCTGTTAGTAGTAGCTAGAGATTTCTTTTCTCTTCATAAAGTTTAATAAATCGATTTGTTCATCACCAACTCAGTTTCCGTCACAGTATCGGGGAGTTGCGCGAAATTCCTATAAGAGACAGTGCAGAGCCATCGACCAAGCTTCCGTACTCGGAATCCGCGTTGCTCTACTAAATTGGCGTACTATGTCGATCTCGGCACTGAGAAGAGAGACTGGCATTCTACCAGCACATGTTCTGCTCGAGAAACGCAGGCTCAAGACTGCCGCGCCAATCCGAAGACTGGATGATTACCATTCGCTCCGACTCCGGGCCACGGAAAGCACCGACAGCACTCGCCACCGACTCGGACTAAAGACATGCAACAAAAGCAGACTAGGTCTCGACAGAGTTCATGATTCGAGGGTCCAGAAGATGTACCGAATATTGCCAGAGGCTGAACTCCATCCACCACTCCGACCCCTGGCACCCCCTCAGCCGAATCTTTGCTGGACAAGCAAGAAAGAAGCTGCTAAGTTTATAAGAGAGTGACTACCTACCCTCCAGCCCGACTGTCACTCCCTTTATAGTGATGGTTTTGGGGCGTCCACCGACAGAGTATCATGGGCCTTTGTGATCTTTATCAGCGGCACAGATACGATAATCGAGTAAAGCGACTCAGGCAAGATTATGAATGCGGAGGTTCATGGAGCTTTGGTTGCTCTAGAAGTAATCACTACCAGCAAATGAGATCTAGGTCGCAGTGCCATCTATTTCCTGCTCGATAATTCCGCAGCTGTCCAGGCTTTACCGACGGGAACAACGGGCTCATCATCCTGGAGGATCCAAAAGTTTTTGAGAATGGCCGCAAGATAAGCCGCACCTGTTAAAGTAGGATAGATCCCGGGCCACGAAGGGCTGGCAAGAAATGAAATTCCTGATGAACTCGCTCGAACTTGAGATGCGGCGCAAGAAACCGCCAGAGCTAGCGCTACCGAGAGCGGTCCACGCCCGCTTAATCGCCGCTCGAGCTGGACATGGGGAATTTGTGGCATATCATCACCGCTTCAACCATACTACTAACACACTTCACTACAAGTGCGGGAGGGAAGAATCAATCAGTCACCTTTTCCAGTGACGAAAAGCACTGGCAACCTGGCAGCTGAAAAGCGGAAAGTGTAGGGCGCCGGACCTGGAATTAATGCTCGGATCGAGTGGATGGCAATAGTTCTATGAATACGTTCAGTATAGCGGAATATACGCGGTGGTTAGTCAGGGGATGGCAGGGATACCTGTGACGCGGAGGTCGTAGATCGAAAGCCGAGGTGGCTTGGCATGGAAGGAGGGATTCGAATCGAGGCTCAGGCGCGTGGTGACTGAAGCGGAACGATGGAGGGCAAGACTGAACACCTGTTAGTGGTGCTCTCTACGAACCTGGGAGTGAAATATTCTCCCAGAGCCAAGCTCAGTC